CATCATCATCATCATCATCATCATCATCATCATCATCATCATCATCATCATCATCATCATCATCATCATCATCATCATCGTCGTCATCATCATCATCATCATCATCATCATCATCATCATCATCATCATCATCATCATCATCATCATCATCATCATCATCATCATCATCATCATCATCATCATCATCATCATCATCATCATCATCATCATCATCATCATCATCATCATCATCATCATCATCATCATCATCATCATCATCATCATCATCATCATCATCATCATCATCATCATCATCATCATCATCATCATCATCATCATCATCATCATCATCATCATCATCATCATCATCATCATCATCATCATCATCATCATCATCATCATCATCATCATCATCATCATCATCATCATCATCATCATCATCATCATCATCATCATCATCATCATCATCATCATCATCATCATCATCATCATCATCATCATCATCATCATCATCATCATCATCATCATCATCATCATCATCATCATCATCATCATCATCATCATCATCATCATCATCATCATCATCATCATCATCATCATCATCATCATCATCATCATCATCATCATCATCATCATCATCATCATCATCATCATCATCATCATCATCATCATCTCCATCATCATTACAATCATTGTTGTTGTTGTTGTTTTGGTTGAAATGTTCTATTTGGTCATGAGTAGACTGGCTACTGAGAATGTGTGTATAAGTAGTATGATTGGTTGTATGTGATCAGAATGGAAAGTGTTGCTGAGCAGTGTTGTTCGGTGTTGATGCGGTTGATAATGTTGATTTTGGTGTGTATGTTGATGTTGAGTGTGTGTGTTTGTGAAATGGTGGTGTTCAGTGTGGTGTTTGTGTATGTGTCAGTGTTTGATGTGCAAATGGATGTGTGAATATTTAGTTAGAGTGGTGTGGTGGCTACGTGTTGATTGGGCTTGTCTGGTTGACTTTGCGCAGTGGCGGTACCGTAGCCAATGAAGTTTATCTGAGGCGCGGTTATTGCTAGTTGAAAACTACTCCCAATACCCCGCACCGATGGCGTGAAATATCGTTGTCGGATGCAATTTTTCTAGGCCGTATCTGGCCCCAATTTACACAATACAGATGTTCGTCGCAGGCTGGCTGGCTGGCTAGCTACCTAGCTAGCTCGCTCGCTCGCACACTCACCCACCGACACACGCACACTGTCTACGAACCACAACAACACTGTCACACAGTCTCTGTCACAACACCATACACAGATCCTACTCTCACACACACCTTCACGAACACTGGGACACACAACCAAACAACAACAACAACCATACAAACACTACTACTAATAACAGTAATTCAAATAATGTACAAATAGCACCACTAACACTAGTAACATTGTTATCATTATTCTTCTTCCTCGTATAATCATTAATTTCATTATTACCACTAATAATAATAATAATAATAATACTGCTACCAATTATACTGCTACGACTACTAATAATGCTACTACTACTACTACTTCTCATATCGCCACTGCTGCTTTTACTACAACTGCCAATAATGACAAATACCACACAACCGGAAAATTACAACCTATTATAACACACTCAACTCTCGCTTATGCACACATCTCCCCTTAGCATAGTTCTCATGCAGCAGCAACAGCAACTCATCACCAACACTTACCACAACACAAACCTACATCACCACATTCAATCGTTGTGTGTGTTGCACACAAACAGTCTGATGCGTACGCGTACGCACACGAGCACGCACACGTGCAGGCGCACGCTCAAACACACTCTCTCTCGACACACACATAAAAACAAACACTCGCTTGCTGGCCCTATCGCTCGCTACCTCACACGCACACATTCTATGTTACATGCCAACTCGTCATTACAGTGCAGGTGGAACTCGAACACAGTGTCAGTGCACATCGATCAGAAACCACACATCGTCATAACGATCACACTGATCATTAGCATGAAGTTCGTGGTAACGTGTGATGTATCTAGGGTAGTGAGTAGAGAGAATTATGCATGTAGTATGGCAGATCGAATTGAAGTTGTTTGACGTGTTCAATGATCAACCGAGATACTTATTCATTGAGCTGCTAACACATTCAACCTCTCACTCTCTCATCAGACATGACTATCTGTGTACATAGGAATTATGTAAATAGTTAGATAGATATTTCTACATAGGATTATGCACAGTGGTGTGATCATGACTTCCTTTGTTGTGTGGGTGTTTGTTCTCGCATCGCTGTCATGCAGTGAGCGACAATGAGCAACGAGGAGACGATTCTCAGTGAGGTAGTTTTGTCAAGTGTTAATGGTAGCAATTCACATTAGTGTTTGCGTGCGTGCGTTTGTGTAGATAGATGATTAAGTGAGTACAATCGCTAATTCAATTGCAGTTGACATATGTATCGTTGTGGCAGTGTTAAATTAGTAATGTGTTAGTAGTAGTAGTAGTAGTAGTAGTAGTAGTAGTAGATGATGTTGTTGTTGTTTTTTTCATCATCATCATCATCATCATCATCATCATCATCATCATCATCATCATCATCATCATCATCATCATCATCATCATCATCATCATCATCATCATCATCATCATCATCATCATCATCATCATCATCATCATCATCATCATCATCATCATCATCATCATCATCATCATCATCATCATCATCATCATCATCATCATCATCATCATCATCATCATCATCATCATCATCATCATCATCATCATCATCATCATCATCATCATCATCATCATCATCATCATCATCATCATCATCATCATCATCATCATCATCATCATCATCATCATCATCATCATCATCATCATCATCATCATCATCATCATCATCATCATCATCATCATCATCATCATCATCATCATCATCATCATCATCATCATCATCATCATCATCATCATCATCATCATCATCATCATCATCATCATCATCATCATCATCATCATCATCATCATCATCATCATCATCATCATCATCATCATCATCATCATCATCATCATCATCATCATCATCATCATCATCATCATCATCATCATCATCATCATCATCATCATCATCATCATCATCATCATCTCCATCATCATTACAATCATTGTTGTTGTTGTTGTTTTGGTTGAAATGTTCTATTTGGTCATGAGTAGACTGGCTACTGAGAATGTGTGTATAAGTAGTATGATTGGTTGTATGTGATCAGAATGGAAAGTGTTGCTGAGCAGTGTTGTTCGGTGTTGATGCGGTTGATAATGTTGATTTTGGTGTGTATGTTGATGTTGAGTGTGTGTGTTTGTGAAATGGTGGTGTTCAGTGTGGTGTTTGTGTATGTGTCAGTGTTTGATGTGCAAATGGATGTGTGAATATTTAGTTAGAGTGGTGTGGTGGCTACGTGTTGATTGGGCTTGTCTGGTTGACTTTGCGCAGTGGCGGTACCGTAGCCAATGAAGTTTATCTGAGGCGCGGTTATTGCTAGTTGAAAACTACTCCCAATACCCCGCACCGATGGCGTGAAATATCGTTGTCGGATGCAATTTTTCTAGGCCGTATCTGGCCCCAATTTACACAATACAGATGTTCGTCGCAGGCTGGCTAGCTACCTAGCTAGCTCGCTCGCTCGCACACTCACCCACCGACACACGCACACTGTCTACGAACCACAACAACACTGTCACACAGTCTCTGTCACAACACCATACACAGATCCTACTCTCACACACACCTTCACGAACACTGGGACACACAACCAAACAACAACAACAACCATACAAACACTACTACTAATAACAGTAATTCAAATAATGTACAAATAGCACCACTAACACTAGTAACATTGTTATCATTATTCTTCTTCCTCGTATAATCATTAATTTCATTATTACCACTAATAATAATAATAATAATAATACTGCTACCAATTATACTGCTACGACTACTAATAATGCTACTACTACTACTACTTCTCATATCGCCACTGCTGCTTTTACTACAACTGCCAATAATGACAAATACCACACAACCGGAAAATTACAACCTATTATAACACACTCAACTCTCGCTTATGCACACATCTCCCCTTAGCATAGTTCTCATGCAGCAGCAACAGCAACTCATCACCAACACTTACCACAACACAAACCTACATCACCACATTCAATCGTTGTGTGTGTTGCACACAAACAGTCTGATGCGTACGCGTACGCACACGAGCACGCACACGTGCAGGCGCACGCTCAAACACACTCTCTCTCGACACACACATAAAAACAAACACTCGCTTGCTGGCCCTATCGCTCGCTACCTCACACGCACACATTCTATGTTACATGCCAACTCGTCATTACAGTGCAGGTGGAACTCGAACACAGTGTCAGTGCACATCGATCAGAAACCACACATCGTCATAACGATCACACTGATCATTAGCATGAAGTTCGTGGTAACGTGTGATGTATCTAGGGTAGTGAGTAGAGAGAATTATGCATGTAGTATGGCAGATCGAATTGAAGTTGTTTGACGTGTTCAATGATCAACCGAGATACTTATTCATTGAGCTGCTAACACATTCAACCTCTCACTCTCTCATCAGACATGACTATCTGTGTACATAGGAATTATGTAAATAGTTAGATAGATATTTCTACATAGGATTATGCACAGTGGTGTGATCATGACTTCCTTTGTTGTGTGGGTGTTTGTTCTCGCATCGCTGTCATGCAGTGAGCGACAATGAGCAACGAGGAGACGATTCTCAGTGAGGTAGTTTTGTCAAGTGTTAATGGTAGCAATTCACATTAGTGTTTGCGTGCGTGCGTTTGTGTAGATAGATGATTAAGTGAGTACAATCGCTAATTCAATTGCAGTTGACATATGTATCGTTGTGGCAGTGTTAAATTAGTAATGTGTTAGTAGTAGTAGTAGTAGTAGTAGTAGTAGTAGTAG